TATATATATATATATATATATATATATATATATATATATATATATATATATATATATATATATATATATATATATATATATATATATATATATATATATATATATATATATATATATATATATATATATATATATATATATATATATATATATATATATATATATATATATATATATATATATATATATATATATATATATATATATATATATATATATATATATATATATATATATATATATATATATATATATATATATATATATATATATATATATATATATATATATATATATATATATATATATATATATATATATATATATTGTTCTTTGTTAGAATTAACTGAAAATACTTGTACTTACCCTGGCACAAATTTAGTACAATTTACCTTGTTCTTCAGATACTAAACATTTTCCCTCCTCAGATCTTAATACCTTGTGTTTCCTTCTGGGGCATCGGTGAGGGTTTAAACCTTTTTTAACAGTTGTGTTTGAGTCTCTCGATCAATTGAGTCCCTGTGTGAAAAGATAATCTTACAATCACACAGTCACTTCTGGAAAGTGGTCAGATCAGCAGAAGATGCTGAAGAATTAGCAGGAGATTGAGTATTTTTCTGAAGAACAGCAGTCAGTTTAACTGACAAGAACAAACTAGAGACTCAAAAACAACCATCACAAAGCAGAAAAAGCACTTGTAGCTCATCATGAAATCGCACACAGTATTGAAAACCATATGTACACTTTTGCAGGGGGTTATTTTAATAATATTAATAATAATAATAATAATAATAATAATAATAATAATAATACGGCTGAAAGCTCTGTTGCCCATAGACAATAGACGAGCAGAGGGAACAGACAAGTGGAGGGAGGAAGAAAATTGCAAGGTGTGACTATGTGCTATGGACGGCCGAGATTGTGGATGGCTTTGAATGTTAACAGCAAAATTTTTAAATCAATTAAAAAATGAACTGGTAACCAGTGAAGCTACTGCAGGACTGGTGATGATACAGGCAGCTGAGCTCTGGACCAACTGAAGCTTACTGAGGGATTTGTGAATAAGACTAAAGAGAAGGAAGTTGCAGTAATCTAAACGAGATGCGACAAGGCTATGGACAAGAACAGCAGTGGCATGGGAATAAGTGAAGGGTCGAGTCGGTTAATGTTGTGTAGGTGGAAGTAAGCAGACCGGGTGATGTTACTGATGTGAGAATCAAAAGATAGGGAGCTGTCAAGGATGACACTGTTTAGAAGGATAAATGGAACAGTCGTCAATAAAAAAAGAAAAGCTGACCGTTTTGGAAAGTGTAGATTTGGTACCAACAAGCTAAAAGTTTTTACACTATTTATTTGAGAAAGTTAAGAGAAAGCCAAGATTTGATTTCTGCTAAGCAGATAGTAAAGATTAAGGTGGAAAATAAGAAGGGTTTGCCAGAGAGACAGAGCTGGGTGTCAGCGGCCAGAGAGATAAGATTTGAACCAGTCAAGTGGGATATTGGTGATGCCAAGAGAAGATAGTCTATTGATGA